ATGTGAATCTAATAAATAAAATCTTTTTTTTTTTCAAAAAACATAGACTAAAAATACAATCACATATTGTATTAATACAATCTTCTTCTTCTTTTTCAAAAACACATTAAATGGAGTGTAAAAAAACATAATCATTTAAAAAAATAAAATCACCATGCGTAGTTTATGTGAGCCTAATGAATACAATCTATTTTTTTTTCTTTCAAAAAATATAGATTAAAAATACAATCACCGTATTGAAAAATAAATTAAATCCAATCACAATCGCAAAATACTATCCAATCATCATCAATCACACAGAGTATAAAAATATAATCACCGTATTGACAAACAATAAAGTCAATTGGTAATTAAAAATAAAATTATTTTTTTCAAAAAAAATATGCAAGCTAAGTTAATTGATAGTTAAAAAGCACAACTTTTTTTTTAAAAAAAATGCAGTGACTATTTTAAGTGAATCTAATTAATACAATCTATTTTTTTTCAGAATCCATATATTAAATGGAGTGCAAAAAAAAATCATCATTTAAAACATAAAATCACCGTGTGATCAAAATATAGTATAAAAAAACATAATCGCATTTTAAGCACAACCATTTTTATTTATTTTTTTAAAAATACAGTGAGTTAAAAAATCCAATTACAAAAAAGAATCTAATCATTATCATCAATAGTGCGTACTTTATATAAACCTAATGAATGCAATCTGATTAAAAATAAAATATTGAAAAAAAAACAAAGTTTTAATCACAATCACAAAATACAATCTAATCATCATCAATAATTAATATTTTATGTGAATCTAATGAATACAATCATTCTTAATCAGTTTAAAAATATAATCACTATATTAAAAAATAAATTATTTACTCACAGACTTTTGAATGTTTTTCTTCCAAAATTCTGCTGCTGTGATAAAAAGGCTCCAAGATTCTGTCTTACTTTACGTGAACTCTCTCTCTCTCTCTCGCCCAAATTTTTTCTTTACGATGCTAGGTGTTGTGGTAGGGTTTAGGTTAGTAGGTAGTAATGGGTAATAATGGGCCCAAATTTTTTTCCTGAAACTTATGGGTATCTATCTATATCTTATATATTATATTATAACATGACCAAAAAAAATCAGATATACAAACAGATAAAATTAATAAATTTAATTTCTATTTATTCAATTAAAATCTTTCTTTTGCCGCACAATATCTAATTTTAAATTTAAAAATCTTTAAATTCTATCTAAATAAATCTAATTTGAAAATATCTCAAACCATCATACTTTAAATCAATAAAACTCACATTATAATTTATCTAAATAATAATAATAATAATAAACAAATAGAAACCAGAGATAAATTAAATTAAAAAAATAGAAACCCACAATTCCATCTTAAATAAATTGAAAAAAAAAATAGAAACCATACAAAAATTAAAAAGATAAGAATTTAGATATGAATCTTAAAAAATTTTCTTTAGGTTGCTGTGTGCTGTGGTAAGGTTTAGGTTAGTAGGTAGTAATTGGTGATAATGGGTAATAAGGTTTAAGGTAATATGGAAATTTAATGGGTAATAATGCGTTTGGGTTTAGGGTAATACAAAAAAAAATTTAATCACAAAATTAAGAAATTAGGATTGGAATAGATATAAAAAAAGACCCTTTTCTTATATATATAGATATAATAAAATATTATTGTATTTAGTTTCAATTTTCTAAAAATTGAGTTTTTTTTATTTTTCGTATTTTTTTTATTTTTAGTGAATAACCAAACAAACCAAGCCTTAAATCACATCAAATATTTTTAAAATTTTAAGCATTTTTTTTTACTTTTTTAGATGTACCTTATTTAGATGTATCTAAAAAGTAAAATATTTATAAAAAAAAATATTTCAAAATATCAATAAATATACAAGAATACAAGAAAATGTATTAAATTCTCATTTTTTCGTATTTTTTATATTTCGTGAATTTTTAATGTAGTCGTTTGCACACCAAAAAATTTATTTAAAACCAAGTAAAAGCAACCACTCCGTAAAATAGCGATTAAGATCAGGTGTCAATCCACAATGACTAGTGATGAATAATTTAATTTAGAAATTCATATTTATTTACAAATATTTAGAGTAAAAATTAAACCAATTAATTAAACAATTAAATAAACAAAATAAAATAAATATATTATAATTTTGAATCCACCGCTAACCTCATAATTGGGAGTAATTGTACTCAGTCTTTAGAAAATTATTGATTTGGATTCTGTGATATATGTTGATTAGAAATATATCGTCAAGAAAATTTGTATATCAAAACCAGAAAATCACAAATCATCTTTGCTTAGTGTAGACCGTTACCATTAAACTAAACTAGTTACGGTTGATGCATGACCCCGACTTATTAGGTATGACTCGTCTTACCATTCTAATATGCAGCATTGAAAACCATTGTATAATATGATTTGAACAAAACTATTATTGCACAAAAATATCTTAAAGTTATACAACTACATTCAAATCAAATCAAAACTAAAAATACTAAATATAACTTATCCCAATTATTTGGTTAGGGTTTAATTTCTATCCTAAGACAGAAAAATAATTTCACACACTAATATTTACAAACTAAACACTCTTACTTTCCCTTTCTTTCTATTTTTTTTTTCTCTCTCTTCATCCCTTATGTTGAAGCCCTTGCTCTTGTCTGAGCTCCCTCTCTCCCCTTTTCTCTCTTCTGAGTTGTCTCCCTTTTCTTTTAGGATGAAACACCAATAAATTCCCAAATGTGATCTTATAAATTGTTTAATCCTTCATTTTTTCTTATGAACCCAAAGGTCCTATTAAAGTAGAAATTATATAGAAGGATAGTCACTTACATGTTTGGATTTAATTTTTTAGGAATAAAAGTGGATTTCTCAAAATGTAAAATTACACATTTGGGCAATTTACAACATAGAAGTTTTGAATTTTTCCTCATTTTAGAACGAACAAAAACCTAACACTCTAATGTACACTCCAATAACATAACACTTCAATATAACACATTAAAAAACTCATTAGTGTACTTTTCTCAAATGCAACGCTCAAATGTAACATAAAAAATAAAAAATAAAAAAATCCTTAATGTACTTTTCCCAAACGTAACACTCCAATCAGTTTAATCCCAAACGTAACACTCCAATGCAACATACTTCAATATAACACACAAAAACACTAAAAAAAAGTTCTTAGTGTACTTTATCCAAACGTAACACTCATACTTTGAAATTATACGTTTATCCAAACTTACTAAGGAATATCTATATTCCTTTTGAAATGGTTTGAAGAATCTCTCATTCTTTCTTTTTTAATGTTACATTAGAGTGTTACGTTTAGGAAAAATACACTAAGAAATTTTTTTTGTTACATTGGAGCATTACGTTTGGAAAAAATACACCAAAGAATTTTTTTTGTGTGTTACATTAAAATATTATACTAAGGAATTTTTTTTGAATATTATATTAAAGTGTTACATTTGGAAAAAAAAAGTACACTAAAGAGTTTTTTTGTGTATTACACTATAATGTTACACAAAAGAGTTTTTATGTGTTACATTAGAGTGTTATACTAAGGAGTTTTTTTAGAGTATTATATTAGAGTGTTATATTTAAGAAAAGTCCATGAAGAAATTTTTTTTTTTTTGGTGTTATATGTTATATTCGAGGGTTACACTAAGGAGTTTTTGCATGTGTTACATTAGAGTGTTACACTAAAAAGTTTTTTTTTGAGTGTTATATTAGAGTGTTATGTTTGGAAAAAATACACTAAGAAGTTTTTTTGTATGCTATATTAGAATGTTACAATAAAAAAAAAAATGTGTGTTACATTAGAGTGTTACACTAAGGAATTTTTTTGTTATGTTATATCAGAGTATTACGTTTTTTTGAAGTGATATTGATGATGTAGATGCTTATAATCAGGGGCGGAGGGACATTGGGCTCAGGGGGGTCATGTGCCCCCCTGACTTTTGAATTTTCTTTTTCTTTTTTTTTTAAGTGTGGTCTACCTTTCACACACAGATTGTGCCCCTCCTCTTAATACACAATTTCAAACCCACTAACCCACTGACATCACATGCACAACGCACCACATTTGTATATTTTATTTTATTTTTTTTTTTGGAATCCTAATCCCAATCCCAATTAAATACTGACACAACTTTTTTTTAGGTAAGTGCACACAACTCCAACGACAGCAAGGTTAAAACTCTAAAACCTTAGAAGTGTATGAAATTCTTTTTTTTTTTTCTATTTATTCACAGTACTTGTGAAGTATATTGGTATTTTCTTTTTCTCCCTTTGTTGCTTTGTAATTTACCGATTCACAATTCACCAAATTAGGATCACACAACACAGATTTGGGACCACATTACAACCTTGGTATCTTTTCTTCATTGTTTACAAGTAATTTTTTTTTTTTTACTTTTAAATAAAAATTATGAGCATTAATTTATAATTATTTGTTAAGTTTTGATTTGTAAAAATTTTTTATTTGTTGTTATTTACTTTAAAATAAGAGATTTTGATATGCTATAATTATGATTCTTAATTGTGGTGATTTATATTAAAATTAGGGATTTTGGTTTGTTGTTCTTTGTGCTAAAATTAGGGATTTGATTTATGCTAAAATTAAAAATATTAATTTGCAGTGATTAATATTTAAATTAGGAATTTTGATTTGTTATAATTTGTGCTAAGATTAAAAATTTTGATTTGTTGTGATTTGTGCTAATTTAAATTTTTTAATTTGTATTAAAATTGGAGATTTTGATTTGTGGGGGGTTTGAGATTTTGATTATGAATTTTTATTTTGATTTTTAATTTTTCCAAACAGTCATGGAGAAATATTTCAAAAGAAAATCAAAGTTGGAATTATCTCTTTCTCAAGAAAAATATGATAATTATTCTTCTGCAAAACAAAGTCGCATACAAATCAACTTAGTAGACCTTCCTGCAGATCCAGGACTTCGGCCTCAGATTATGGACTATAATGCTAATGATCAAGACCGGATTCGTGGGGCATATCTACAAAAACGTCCTTGTCAACCTCGTGATCATAATTTTCTACAAAAATCATTTGGACAAAAACTTCGGCAATTTAATCAGACTTGGTTTAGTGAATTTGCTAATTGGTTGGAGTATAGCGTAGTAAATGATGCAGCATTTTGTTTATATTGTTATCTTTTCAAACCCGATATTGGAGATCAAGCAAGTGGTGATTCTTTTGTTGGTGAGGGTTTCTCAAATTGGAAGAAAAAATAAAAAATTCAGACTCATGTTGAAGGTCCCAATAATGCTCACAATCAAGCTTTGAGTAAATGTCAAGACTTGTTAAACCAAAACCAACATATTGAAACGATTTTTTTCAAACAATCTGATCAAGTTCGAATTGAATATGGAACCCGTTTGAATTCATCGGTTGATTGTGTCAAATTTCTTCTAAGACAAGGACTTGCATTTCGTAGGCATCATGAATCTGAAATTCAAATAAGCAAGGAAATTTTCTTGAACTTCTCAAGTTTCTTGCTGATCATAATGAAGATGTCAAAGTGGTTACATTGAGTAATGCTCCACAAAATCTTAAGTTGACATCTTCTGATATTCAAAAGACATTGTAAATGTGGCTGCATTTGAAACTATCAATGTGATTATTAGAGATCTCGGTGATGTACTTTTTTCTATTTTGATTGATAAAGCCCGTGACATATCAATCAATGAGTAAATGGCAGTTGTAATATGATATGTTGACAAAAAAGGCCAAGTGATTGAGTGCTTTTTGGGTATTGAGCATGTTGCTGATACGAATGCTCTGTCACTTAAATAAGCTATGAAAAATTTATTCTCCAGACTTGGATTGAGTATTTCCAGATTGCGGGGTCAAGGATATGATGGGGCTACTAATATGCAAGGTGAGTTCAATAGTCTTAAAACACTTATACTGAAAGAGAATCCTTGTGCATATTATGTTCATTGTTTTGCTCATCAATTGCAATTGGCACTTGTAGCCGTGGCAAATAATTATAATTAAATTGCTTTACTTTTCACTTTGGTTTCTAATGTGGTGAATGTTGTTGGAGCATCATGTAAACGCCGGGATATTGTTAGGGAGAAGCAAGCTTCAAATGTTGCTGAGGCACTTAATACTGGAGAGCTATCTAGTGGGCAAGGCTTAAATCAAGAAACTAATCTTAAACGTGCTGGTGATACACATTGGGGTTCACACTATGGTACTTTAGTCAGCTTGGCTAGTATGTTTTCAACAGTGATTGATGTGCTTGAAATGATTTCGAAGGATGGTTCAAATTTAGAACAACGAGCAGAAGCAAATGTACTATTAGGCTCAATTCAGTCATTTGAATTTGTATTCAACCTTCATTTGAGGAAAATGATATTGGCTATTACAAGTGAGTTATCGCAAGCACTACAAAGGAAAGATCAAGATATTGTTAATGCCATGAATTTAGTTCAAATTTCTAAAGTACGGCTCCAAAAGATGAGAGAGAGTGGGTGGACATCTTCACTTGATGATATTTTGTCTTTTTGTGAAAAGCATGAAATTGATGTTCCCCAAATGGAAGATATGTTTGTAGCTCGAGGGAGAAAAAGGCGCAATGCTCAAGAAATTACAAACTTACATCACTATCGCGCTGAGTTATTCCACACTGTTTTGGATATGCAAGTTCAAGAACTAAATGCTCGTTTCACTGTGTCGAACACTGATTTGTTACTTTGTGTAGCATGTTTGAATCCATCTAACTCTTTCTCTAGTTTTGACAAGAAAAAGTTAATTCATCTTGCTGAATTTTATCCCAAAGAATTTTCTTCAGTGGAGCTCATGGTACTTAATGATTAACTTGATACATATATTATCGACATGCTATCTAGTAGTGAGTTCTCAATGTTGAATGGAATTGCTGATCTTGCTAAGAAAATAGTAGAGACTAGAAGAGACAAAGTATATCCATTGGTGTATTTGCTCTTGACTTTAGCATTAATCTTACCTGTTGCAACTGCTACTGTTGAGAGGATATTTTCAGCTATGAATGTTGTGAAGAATCGGTTGCGGAACCAAATAGGTGATGAATAGATGAATGATAGCTTGGTTGTCTACATTGAGAAAATATTTTTGATGGCATTGACAGTGATACTATTATGAAAAGATTTCAAAAGATGAAAACTCGTTAGGGTCAATTGTAAAAGTTTAAAATTTAAAACTTTGTGTAATGGATATTAATTTTTAATGTTTAACATTAGCTCGAAAAATTATTATTATGTTATTGTTATTGATTGGGAAAGAAAAGTTTTGAGATTGTAATTAATGGGTGTCCCCCCTATATTAAATTCCTGGCTCCACCACTGCTTAGAATGTTTAATGGAAGCCTTTGGAAATGTGTTTCGTTTGAGTGGGGGTTTGTTGTATTGGTGGTAAAAGATTTTGTCAACTTTTGTGTAGGATTTGATTGCGATTGCCCACGTAAATGTTAAGACGTGTAACTTCCATGGTAGTATAAAGTAGCCAATTTCAATGGAAGCAATGAATGTATTATGTCAGTGTGTGCAATTGTAGGTATGTTGACGTTTTTATGGATTGTTGATGACTTGCATGTTATTGGTGATGATTTGTTAGACGTGTACTTGTTACTGAAAGTGCATGGTAATGAAAATGCATTTGTCAGAATCATGTATGTAGTGGGTCTTGTGTGGGTGGTAGTGCTAAAATCAAATAAAATAAATAAACAAATAAATAATAACCAACAACAACACTACGATTCCACATCAGGCCCTCCACATCAAATGGCTAAACATCACTAACCTCACAAATCACTCCACGCAATCTTTCACAAAAGTTTCAAAAATGAACACCATACCATAACCAACCCACCCAAACATTAGGAAAAAATTACAACTAAAATCACACTCAAAGGTAAACAAATAAACCCTAAAATATACCATAAATAAAACAACTAACTGATTTGAAAGAAAACTTTCGAAACTAAATAGAGTAACATTTTCCTAAATGAGATTTTTAGATAATTTTCCCTTTCTTTTATACGAGAAAAATTCTATAAATAAAACAAATATAGTACTATAAATAATATAATTATATATATATAGTAGAGGGGTGGAGTGGTTTGGTTAGTCACCTGTTTGTTTGTTTGTTTGTTTTTATGTTTATTTTCTTTTTCCTTCTCTTTTCTTGTTTCTTATCACTTTGGATGCAAATTTCAAAATTAAAATATTTAAAAGGTATTATTTACTTTAATTTATATATAACACTTAAAATATGTACAAACATATCAAATTACACAAAATTATAAAATATTATAATTAAATAGATTAACAAAGTGTATATTCACAGGTTAAATGTGTAACATTTAGGCATTGATCACACCCCCTAACTTACATTTTACTAGTCCTCGAGCAAAAAAATTAAAATAAAACAAAATAAAATTTATCTATGTCATTTTCATGGGGTGCACAGTTACATTTAGCGTATGCAACTGGCCTTTGAACTCGTAAACTACCCCTAGTGGACAAATTGTAATCTCGTGAAAGTTTACAGTGAATATACCCACAAAATTCAATTTTTTTAAAGTTTACAGTTGAAAAATCTAGAAATCCCCTAGATGTTGATTTGTGATTATGTATCAATTTTAAGCAGAATATAACAATCCCAATCAAACAATCAAACAATCAAGACAAAGAGACACAACGATTTTAACGTGGAAAAAACCACAATTGGACACCTCCAACTGTGATAAAAAAACCACGGGCAACAGCCACAAAACAATCCACTAAGAAGATTTAAAGGAATTACACAGGTATACTCTCAATTACCTAGCGAATCCACAACGCCTAATTGAACCAACCTTTATGTGCCTCTTCCAACCCCATCTTCACCACGGAATTGTCTTTCTGATGAGCCACTCCGGATTCCACCAAAGCTTCAGGCTCGAATTCTTCAGAATCCACAACTGAAGAATAACTCTCTCTTTTGTGCATAACAAACAAACCTTTGATGTACTCTCTTTAGATCATGAGTTGAATACTCAATAAAAACATCAAAGAAAACTCCCAAAGTATCCCCAGATATAAACCCTAGAAAAGAAGATCTGGAGAAGTTCTCCTAAAAATCTGACCCAATACGCGAATTTATAGAATCTGTCCCGCGATCTCCGCTCGAGCTCAACACAGCCCGCTCGAGCGGACTGACCAAAAACTGCGTGCGAACAAACTGAGATGCGCTCGAGCGTAGGAGAATACGCTCGAGCGTAAAATCACACATTCCAGTATTTTTACAGGCGACTGCAGAGATGCTGAGAGCTTCCAATCCCCGCTCGAGCGTCACTTTCCCCGCTCGAGCGGGAAGGCCAAAAATGGAAAAACTGGAAAAAAATAACACAGGCAAGGACAGGCAATCTTGAAAGCTTTATCATCACAAACTTCTCTGAAAAGCACAATTCGGGTTGGATTCGCATCTAAACACTCATAGCCTCACTGAAATAAATGTGCGAAAATAAACAAATAGATCGTTATGGAATAGTGGTATCTTGAATGAACTTCCATTTATAATTTTGTTCCACTTCCATTTTTATTCAATTTCCTTTTCTATTGAATTTCCTTTTTTATTTAATTTCCAAATAGATCGTTATGGAATAGTGGTATCTTGAATGAACTTCCATTTATAATTTTGTTCCACTTCCATTTTTATTCAATTTCCTTTTCTATTGAATTTCCTTTTTTATTTAATTTCCAAATAGATCGTTATGGAATAGTGGTATCTTGAATGAACTTCCATTTATAATTTTGTTCCACTTCCATTTTTATTCAATTTCCTTTTCTATTGAATTTCCTTTTTTATTTAATTTCCAAATAGATCGTTATGGAATAGTGGTATCTTGAATGAACTTCCATTTATAATTTTGTTCCACTTCCATTTTTATTCAATTTCCTTTTCTATTGAATTTCCTTTTTTATTTAATTTCCAAATAGATCGTTATGGAATAGTGGTATCTTGAATGAACTTCCATTTATAATTTTGTTCCACTTCCATTTTTATTCAATTTCCTTTTCTATTGAATTTCCTTTTTTATTTAATTTCCAAATAGATCGTTATGGAATAGTGGTATCTTGAATGAACTTCCATTTATAATTTTGTTCCACTTCCATTTTTATTCAATTTCCTTTTCTATTGAATTTCCTTTTTTATTTAATTTCCAAATAGATCGTTATGGAATAGTGGTATCTTGAATGAACTTCCATTTATAATTTTGTTCCACTTCCATTTTTATTCAATTTCCTTTTCTATTGAATTTCCTTTTTTATTTAATTTCCAAATAGATCGTTATGGAATAGTGGTATCTTGAATGAACTTCCATTTATAATTTTGTTCCACTTCCATTTTTATTCAATTTCCTTTTCTATTCAATTTCCTTTTTAATTTATTTTCCAAATAGATCGTTAAGGTATAGTGGTTTCTTAAATGAACTTCTATGTTTAATTTTATGAAGGTTCCATTTCTATTTTTATTCAACTTCTATTTTTATTCAATTTCCATCTCCATTCAATTTTCTTTTTTATTTAATTTCCAAATGGATCGTTAAGGTATAGTGGTTTCTTGAATGAACTTCCATTTTTAATTTTATGCAACTTTCTCAGCTCGTTCCCCGTCATAATCAGCGAAGTGGCAATCTTGAAAGCTTTATCATCACAAACTTCTCTGAAATGCTTGATTCGGGTTGGATTCGCATCTAACAACTCATAGCCTCACTGAAATAAAAATGCGAATAAAATTACAACTCAAAGGAGTTTTGTCAAACGGGATTGCCAAGAAATAAAACCTAACAACAGTGAATATACCCACAAAATTCAATTTTTTTTTAAAAAAAAAATATTTTTTTTCAAAAACATATTCACAAAGATAATTGTTAATTTTAATAAAATAGCCAAAGAATTGTCAGAGTTCAGAATACTAGCAATTAGTAAAAATAATTTATCTATCTCTATATTTGGTGTGTGCAAATTATAGCCAACAAAAATATAAGTTGATCTCTTAATGAAAGAAGACTCTAATTATCATAAACATGTTTTGACTCAAATCACATAGATTTTGCACTCAACAAATGAATCACTAGATGCAGTGTAAATTTGTGTACTCTCAACATATGCGAGTAGAATTAATATAAATAAATCAAAATATCTCGCATATAAGTGATGAAAGATGCTAGCATAAAAGAACATAGTCTCTTCAAAAGAATGCTAAATGCTACAAAATTACATTAGCACCTCTATCCGTCATGTCTGTATCTAAATTTTACCAATTCTGGGATCAAATAAGACTTTTATTGGGTTAGTCAAACAGGCACTACAACATTTTCTTAGTTTAGTGACATTTGAAAGTGTCACAAAACTATTCTTCTAATGACATTTTTTGGTCTTGTGGCATTTTGAACAAGTGCCACTTCTATCGGTGCCACGACAGATACGAGTGCCACGGTAGATACTTGCAAGTGCCACTGCACCATCATGGCTGAAAACTTTCAATGACATTTTAATGTCATGGTAGATATTATTTGTGGCACTATCAAGCGCCATTAAAAAAAGAGTTAGTGACATTTGTGAGTGTCATTACACCATCAAGACTAAAACCTTTCAGTGACACTTTAATGTCATGGTAGGCACTATTCGTGACGCTATCAAGTGCCATTCATGACGATAATTCGTTGTAGAACAATTTGATCCGCTCTTGCGGAGACTCGAACCGCCAACCTTCCGCACCATAAACCTTATACACCACACTCTTCCCACTACACCTCTATAGCACCACATGATTATTTATGCAACATATATTAT